CATACAATAGACGCGCTCCCAAAATCTAGCCAGAGGAAGGGCAGTGGATAAGTGACTAATAACATGAACATAAACGAATGAAAAAGGACTCAACAAAAAAATTGATGGCTCAAAAAATTAGTTCCCAGGCAGGATAGTTTGCTGGCCCTAGTACTTCATTGGCATACCTAAAAAACACCAACGCAAGCATCGAAGATACAACTTACCTCAGGAGGGAGGGTACTTTTTCAGTTTGGCTTCCGTCTAAGGGCACGTGCGAAACGGAAGTCGAACTAATTCTTTGATTATTCCCCCCTAAAAATTTCTAATTTCTATGTTTTTACTCAAAACTAACTATTTTATTTACCTCAGCCTAGGAATGCAAAAAAGCGCTTTTTATCAATAAAACTATACGACTGAACAAATGCCCACCGCGTCCCTCATGCCGATTATAGAAAAGCTCAGGAAATCCACGAAATATAAAAGGTTGTAGGAGGAGAACGAATAAGGCGCTATCGCAAGATACGGGGGCATTGTGGTGGCAATGCATTTGAAACCGCGTAAAACATTCCTTCCTAATAAATGGGACTAAGCCTCAGGAAAGGGAGGAGAGACTCCAGAGTACGTGAGCAATTTTCATTTTCCCGAAGTTCCCGCACCCTTCTATACAACAAGTCTTTGGGAATGTCCCCGTGTTTTGCGATAGCGCCCAAAAAATCATATTCCTTGTCAGGTCTGTTCTATTTGGCTTACATATGATATATATAATAATATTTTCTTTTTTAATTTGCTAGTTAATCTAAATAGGTTGTCCACAAAAATGAGAAAATAAAAATAAAGAATAGGTAAAAACCGTGAGGTCACGGAAAGGAAGGATGCTGTCCCGATTTTTGGAGTGAGCGCGTGCAATCCATAAAAACCTTATCTAAAATGAATGTTAGTAAGAAAAAAGACCTACTGGGCCACTTTCTTCCAGTGGTACATGGCTAGGCAACACACCAAGAACAAAGCTTTGGCCCTCGAGACAAACAGAAAGTTTAACGTTCAAACATATATCCTATCCATCACACTGATTTTGCAACTGTCGCCATCTCAAAAAACTTACTGCTGACGAAAACGCCAGTCACAGCCGAACAACCTATAGTTGCACTTTTCCCAGCTGTTCTTCATCAAAGAACTAATAGGAGGGAAAGGCCTCTATGGAAAGCGCTGGGTTGTATTGGAGGCATTAATGAGATTAGGCACGGCCGAAGGCAATCGGGAACAGCTTTCATTACTACGACAGAGTTAGGGAACTCACTGTAGATTCAACTCTGCACTTCGGAAGTGTCCTCGCATATATCCGTCTGTGATTCTTTTCCTCATTTTCGTCCAGCTCCAGCTCTTCGTCGCTAGCAATACCGTCCACGGAAATCTGCGTAGTTGCCTCGGAGCATGTGCCATTAGTCTCAGACGAAGGCTTTGATTCCGAGTTGGTATTGGCGTCACTTGCCACGGACTCGTCGCCTTCGTCGTGTGACAGAGAGGTCTCTAACTTTTTCTTGGTTTCCTCAACAATCGATGTTGCCGCTGCTGAAATTCAGGGTTACACTCTCTTGACTGAAAACTGAAAACATTATTGCCAATAAACATGAAGACAGCGACGAAGTTTCGAACAAATCAAATGAAATATGAATCTGTCTGTTAACAAGAAAATCAGAGGAGGTGTTTTGCGGGGTGGTTTCCTAGCTGCCAACTTTCGATCTTCCCCACCGAGTAGACCAAACATGGCCGGAGGACTGAAGGTCAAGATGAGCCATCGTTGAAGAATCCACGGCGCCAAAGAGGATCGGGGAGGTTGCATTTTGCTTCTATGTAGTAAGGAGGGTACGCGTTCTTGGAATCGGCGGTGAAAAAAATGCATAATGAAGCGCTGGGAGAGCGTGGTTTCATGGGTGAGGGGGAGAAGGTGAGGGAACCAGATGAAAAGATGGAATCGTATTAGGTTGCCAAGTTTCCTCGACACTATGCAATCACCACTGCCTCAGACCCAAGCGTTTCCTCAGGCAGGGTACATATACAGCTACCCGCAATATAAACCTGACGGAAATGACTTTTTCGCTAATGCCTTTTGGACGGGCTCTGCAATTCCCACTTCCAACGATGTGACATGAAATACTCCTGCACGGAAGACAACACATGATTTCAGAGTTGGTGCGCTTGCGAAGCTTTCTTCATTAGGGCACCAACCTATCTCGAAGCAGCAGGATCAAATTACCGCGTATGACAGCAGCTGAGGAAATGCTCACCACTGGGGTTCATGCAAATTTCAAGAAGTAAGGAATCAAGGATTACTCCTCTTGAAATTCAGGTAGGAGACCCGCGGTGTTTTCACCGGAATACACCACGTTTGGCAATAAAATGTCATTATCTTTTCTATCACTCTGAATAGACGCTGGCCCTTCGTAACGGTCTTTACAAGTTATCTCACAGCATTTATTCCACCAACTTTCTTCCTTTTCGCCATTCATTGCCTCAAAATTGCTGTATTTAGAACAACTCCATTGAGTATGTTGCCCCCGATTTTTCTTTTACTTCAGCTATTGAAAAAAAGCGTGAAGCAATCGCTATCAACTATTCTCCTTGCAATGCGCCATGCTATCTACTTCGATTCAAAGTCACATCATCAGCATCTGGATGGAACACGCCCTACGGGAAGGGGAAGGGGTGGCGGTGGGAGTTGTGCAACGTGTGCAACGAAGCTTATATGGGCCATGAGCAGAGTATTCTTCTTAGTACTCGAATAAAACTGCGGCTTTGAGAAGGGGAGGAAGTCTGCGTGAAGCAAACGTCAGCATTTTCACTCCTCCAGACTAGCCTTCCACCAGCCGTCCCAATTTGAAAGAATGTAATGAGTGAATGATATGGGCGGGCTAATCCGGGATTTCCTCAGAGCCGGTGTCAGATTTTGCAAACCGAGCGATTCGCTCTATTCGTAAAGTCTGACCCCGGCCCAATCCCGTGTCCACGATAAGCGGGGCTACTTGGCTTTATATCCGTGGCCATCCTGAAATGAAGTAGTAGGAGAAGATGAAGTGTTCGCCATTGCTCATTCCTTTTGGGATGCGCCATACAGCCTATTTCCATTCAGAAATAACAAGTTGTGATTTGGTCTATACAATGACTTGAGGGAAGGAATAAGTAGCAGAAGTCAGTGGAAAGCCTGGTACCAACTCATCCAACCTTGGCGGATGGAAAACCTGGTTAGGATGGGCTTCGATTAAGAATCTGGTACCTAGACCACTCCCGTAGTAAGCGGCGCCAATACAACACCTCCCCTTTCAGAAAATAGACACTGGTGAGCTAGAACTCACCTTGGTTTTCCGTGAGCAGCCGACGAATCTCCTTCATTCGCTGTTTTCGCGCCTTCCATTGCAGCCAGCTTTTCTCTGATCGTCTGATTCACATGTTCTTTTCTGAAAATGTCACCGTAAATATAATAGATAGCCGAGATCAATCCAATCTCAAGACTTCTGAGGGTCT